TATGGGTTTCATCTTTTTCTCCTAAATTTAGATCACATTGTAAATGTAACTTGAGTTTCAAAAGCTGGGTTTATTTATTTATTTACTGTATTTATATACCACCTTTCTTACTCCGGGAGGGGGGGGGGGACTCAAGGCGTTTTGCAACATATTAATGGCAAAAATTCATTGCCAACATACAATAACACAAAGAAATCATAATGACTAATTACTATATATAACTTCAGTTAAAGCTGATGCTTTAAAAAATCTAAAATGTTATCACTCCGTTTATAAGAAAGTAATAGTTATTCTAGCACATTTTTCATATCAAATAATGAGAAATATACATTCATTTCAAATTACTTGGGAAGGATACCTAGTAGGCTTGTGCAAAAAAAAAAAAAGAAATTGTAAGAAAATCAGAAGTTTTGTAAGTCAGTAACTATATGTGAAGCATTTGCATGGTGAACACCAAATATTTTAGAATCTAAACTTACTCCATACATTTTCATTTTAATTTTGTAAATCTTGGAAGGCTCCCAAAGTCAGTTTTATATTCAATGCGAAGCAAAGAAGCAAAGCCAAAGGCTGCCTTAGTGCCTTGCCATTCCTCTGCAAAAGTAATGCAGTCTCAACAGAAAGAACCAATCGGTTCTTTATTTTGAACTACTTTCAAACTAAAGACCACACAATTAAACAGGAAATAACACTTTCAAAATAGGAACATATTTTCTTTATTATTAAAAATGTTTTTTTATAAAAACTTTGAAAATTCACCAAAAATCAGTGGATAAATGATTCGGTCTGCTATTTGGTGGGCGAACAGGAGTTAATGTGTTCTATCATTGTAGCATGTTTTACCTCAATAGCTTTAAAAATGAGGGAGATAGGGGCTCCTGAAGTTTTCCCAATTATAGTCATTTAATTATGCAAAATAACTACATCAAAATTGTAAAGAAACTTGGTTACTTTCATTATAGTAATGAAATTTTCACTAAGTATACTTAGAAACACTTTAGAAACAAAGCACCAGCCCCCCGCCCCCCAGTTTTGTAATGACTTTTAAATCATTTTTTTAATGGATCGCACATCCCTAATACCAAAAGTAATGTTCAAAGAAACAACCCTTTAAAACAGGGTTAATATTTTTAACTTTAAAGGAATTTCTTTAAAGTGTTAAGTAATTGGCAGTATATGCAGTCCCCTGGTTAGGAACAGGGCTGAGACAACAGGAAGTGAGAGGAATCGACGCCTTGGAAGGGGAATCCACCCCTGGAAGAGTGATGATGGGGAAAAGGTATCTCAACTGAAGCTTTATCACCAATCCTTGTTTCCACAACAAACCTTTTTTTTTTTCAAAATCCAATTGTCATAGGGACAGAAAGTGAGGTGAAATCTTCTGAACTGGGGTACAGACAGCAAAATGAACACCGCAGGGGTGTTCACCCTTCCCTATGCTATCCAAAAAGAAATATGTTTATATTTTTGGCTGAGTTACACTAAAAAAATGTATCTGTTCTACTTTACATACAAATTCAGCTTGAGAAGAAACCTACAGAACCTATCTTGTTCATAACTTGGGGACTGCCTGCTGTTAGAAAAAGCATAGTAATATGCACAGAAATATGAAAATATGTAAAATATGTAACTACTCTTCCCAGGACTAATTATGGGTCAACTTCAGTTTGCCTAAAACTCCTGCTGAGTAATATTGGAATTTTTGACAACAGCTGCAGTCCAGAACACTCTCTGTATAAAACAAAATTCTCAGATGAAAAAAAATTAGAATGAATTCACATAATAATCCAACCAGTTGCTAGACAGGAAGTATCCTTTCCTGTTAGCAAAATAACTTCTGAGGACTTCCTGACTTGCAATTGTCTATATAGACAGGGAAAACAAAAACCCAAAACCTTATCTTTATTACCATGAAAAACAACAAAAAGGTCACTGACTTTAGGAGAACAAGAAATGAAAGGACACACACGATAAATGGACCTGTTAGAAGAATGTGGAGATCTAAGCTGTGAAGAGCTGAAAAGATGCAGAATTCAAGGGTAAACTTCCGCTGGAGAAATAATAGATTCTAGTGGGAAAGAAAGGGAGCCAACTTCCTCTTTACAGTGAAGTCCTCACCTATACAATCCCAAAAACAGCTTTGGAGGGCTCAGAAACCCACTGGAGATGGTTTTGTGTCTCATTGGGGTTTGTGTCTCAAATAGTTGGATGGACTGAAATATTGGTTTTCTAGTTAAGCGATAAAAAGTAATTTATTCCAGTTCCTCTGTACAAAATGGGAGAAAGTATTCAACTGAAGATTTATTCCTACACTTTTCAAAAAGAACATTTGGTTAAACAGATTCCTTTTTTGAGGCAACATCATTCCATACATTCCATATTTAGATTCTAAGCCAGAGGACAGGAAACTATCAAATTAACTATTTGTAAGGTGCTCTGGGAGCCTTTTTCACTAGAGATTTCCCCTCAGATTTTGGAATACCTGTATTTGCATGTACAGTAGACTCTCAGTTAACCAGCACCCAGGAAAATTGGCAGATACTGGATAAACGTAGTTTCTGGTTGCTTAAGAGTTACTAAGAAAAATAGGTCTAACTAATACTACTCATACCATAAACTCTATATTATTTTAATATTAATATTGAAACACAGTAATTAAAGGCAAATTAAGGCAAATAAAAACAAACTTAATTGACTGCAGTTTTACTGTATTATAAAAACACTTTTGTGAATGCAGTATAGGTAGTCCCCAAGTTACATACATCTGATTTACAAATGACTCATAGTTAAAAATAGGAGTGAGACAACAGGAAGTGAGAAGAATCTACCCCTCAGAGGAATCTACCCCAGCCCTGGAAGATTTATCAAAAGAAAAAGGTGTCTCAACTAAAGCTTGATCACCAATCCTTGTTTCAACAACAAGCCATTTTTTTAAAAAACCTAATTATCACAGGGACAGAAAGCGTGGTGTAATCTTATGAAAAGGAGCATGGACAGCAAACAATTTTCACAGGGGTGTTAACCCTTCCCTATGCTAGCTGAAGCTTATATATGTGTGTGTGTGGAGTTACACTGAAAAAATGTAACGGTCCCAGTTTACAAACAAATTCCACTTAAGAACAAACCTACAAAACCTGTCTTGTTCATAACTTGGGGCTGCCTGTATGCCATTTTAGTTAAATGACAGTCATTATACTTTCCAACTTAATGAATCTCACCAATATTTATTGTTAACTTCACATACACACCTAAAACTGTTAACAGTAGGCTTAGATAATTTACTGGGTAGATATTGCATCAGGATCATCAAGATCTGATGATGTAGTTGGAACAGGATCAGAAAAAGCAGATGTGAATGGTTTCAGATCTACATCAGTAGATGATGCTGTAAAGTCACATTTCTGCTAAAACGGATTTTATTTTAATTTTTATTTAAAGTATTTATTGAGAGTCTAATGTTTGCACATGATGAAGTATCTTGGAGATGAAATACAAGTCTAAACACAAGCTCATTAATGTCTCATGGATACCATACATGTAGCCTGAAGGTAATGTTACACAGTATTTCTAATAATTTTGTGTTTGTGCACACTGAACTATCAGAAAGCGTGTTACTATTTCAGCCACCCACGTGGACATTTTTGGATCTTGGAGTACTTCAGATTTTGGAATGCTGGATAAGGGATGCTCAAACCGTATTTCCAACACACATACACAATACTTCTTGCAAAATCCAGTACTTATGGCTTTGGTAAGCAACATTCTGTGTCATTCTTGGGTTTGAAAATGCCTTAATAGGAGAATAATTTGAGTGATAGCAAGACCACTCTGATGAAACTGAGTTATGGAAGCTGTTGAAGCACAGCTGCTAGCAATGTGGACACTACACAGAAGAAAACCAGCCAATGCTTTATCCACACATATTTGGAGAATTCAGTGTTAGAGAGTACACACAAATGGATGCCAAAATCAGCAGCCCTTGTTGCCTCTTTCTCCCTTCCCTGGCGCTATGTCCATTACTATAAAAGAGGCCATCATGGCATCAGCTGTTGGGTTTCCTTGGCCACCTGTATCCTAATGGCAAGCCAATGATGTAGTGATGCAAGGCCAGTAAAAACAACTCACAAGCCAACACTGTCATACACACAGAGGAGCAGTACAAGGTGCAAGATTAATCTTTTCAGTGGCATTTACAGTTACTTTATAATAGCTGGTTGCTGCCAGAGTCCATAAGATCTCCTATCTGTTCAGAATACGGATGGGATAAGGGAGATTCTGCTAGATAAATTGCTGAATACAACAGAGCCCAGGGAAAAAATGGAAATTTCTGCCACAACAGAAGCCGATTACACATTTGAGAATACAGTCAGAACAGACTGTGAATTATTCCTAGTAAAATAGACCATTCATTGAAGATTTAGGATAAATGATTTTACTGGAGTATTGCCAGCGTACAAACAGCAGAAAGACTGGCACACATTGCAATTGTTGCCTACTGTGCCAAAAGCATAGGAATTTTCTCCTCTGATTCTGGGAGCATATGGAACAGGAAAATATTCTTGTAAAGTCCACAATAAACACAATAAGCACAAATAAGCTAGCAAGAGTGTAATGGCAAAAAACAAAAACAACATAGGAATGTTCTTGTGTAACATTGGAAGCAAATGAAACAAGAAAATACTTTTGCAAAGCCCGCAAGAAACACATGAGCACAAATCAACTAGCAAGAGTATAAGAACCCTATATCAATAAGGTCACCCCACATGTTCAGAACAATAGAATCTGGGGGGGGGGGGAGCCCCAAATACTGTACAATGAAGTCCGTTGCATCCCTCAGTTCAGAGCTTGAAAATCAAAACCACACTGCTTGAGGTTAATTTGAGTACTAAACAAAATGATGGAACTTCAATCTCTGTTGAGAACAGAGTCTTGTTTCTAATAAACAAACCTCTGGATCAACTGAGAGGAAACACTAATATATTAATTGCAACTGTACTTACAGTGAGTTTGGCCTGCTGGGTTTAACCACTTCTAAGTCAGGGTCACTTGAGTTCATGTTAGACTGAGGAGTGCTGTTGGAGTGGAGGAAACTGTTGATGTTTGATGATGATATGACTGATTCCAGGCTGGAGTTGATGATGCTGTTCCTGTTTTCCTCTGAAAGAAAGAACTGCCAATGTAAACTGCTGTCAGGACACTAACATTTGTTTAGCTATTAAGAGGGGGGGAAAGATGGCATTTTCCACATTATATATGAAGGAACTTCTGCATTAATTGGCGAAAGGCATTATTCAATATCCTAATAGCTTCAGAGATGTCCTTCCAGCCTGGTTGAAAGAAACATAGAAAAGCTGATTCTTCAGACTTGACACCCATCAGCGACATGCATTTTAAGGGAGGAACAAGTACAGCACAACATTGCACAAATATGCAGGATGCTCTGGTATGTTTTAAAAGGGGAGGGGGATACAATTAAGTCTTATTGTTATGGTTCATTTATTTTGTGTCAAACGCATTACATAAATAAACAAGTATAAAACTGATCAAATAGAGGGAGCACAAGTGGCTAAATAATGTTTGACCAAAAACAGGCAACAGCAACTGCATTGTCTGTAGCTTTAAACAATTCTTCCTTTGTGCTTGAGGCAGGGCATTGTGGGTAAGCATACAGATGCAGAGTTGCTTGTTCTGCTCCACAGTCACACAAGGTGGAGGGTTCTTCTAGATAGTGCCATTTTGCCAGGTTCTCCTACTGTGAGAATCCTACTGTGGCCAGATTGGACCTGATATTAAACATCTCATTTGATTCAATGTAAAAAAAAAATAGAAATGTGACTTGTTAGCAATAGATGGCTAGTAATTATCAACACAGCAAGCAAACCCAAGTATTGTTTCTTTCTTGTATACACTTGCTCCAAAAGGTAGTTCTTTTCTTTCTTTTTTTTTAAAAAGTACCCATTAAGTGCTAAACGTTGATTGAATGATGCATCCTGTTATAGGTTCCAGGACTTCAAATTCTAGCAGATTGCAAACACATTTCATTCTTCACACTTTAAGAAGGCTTTCATTTCTAAAATAAGCTAAATAGGGATTTTCAGTTCTGTTTCTTATTTATGACTTTGAATAGTCAAGACTATAAAATTCATCTGTCCTATTTAAATAACAGGGAATAAAATTGTTCTTGGCCATTGAGCAGACGACAGAAGATACTCATCTCAACTGGAGCCATAGCAGCACAAAAACAAGAAAAGCAATCATTTTGATTGCTATTATCGTATTTTTTAAATTATCTATCCTACCTTTTGTTTTTGCATTGTTTGTCAAGATGATGTTATAAGAAATAGCTCCTTACACGTAAGAACGAAATACTAATTCCTCAACACACGCATACACACATATACACACACACTGTATACACACACACACACACACACTTGAAGCAACAATCTGAATTACTGTCAGTCAATGACAACTTTCATTTAAGGGCAGATAAAGGAGAAAAGATCTATAAATAGATTTTTGAAATTTCAGTGATCTAAAAAGCATAAGTGATTTCCTGTTCCCTCTCCATTATTATTTATCTTATTACATCCTGACTTGTTACAGTCAATTGGTGCAACAAAGAGGATGTTGACCCTCTAAAAACCACATTACCTTCCCTCGCTTTGATGGAGATAAGGATTGCATAAGACTCACAATTAATGTCTGTAGATTGGTAATGGATAGGATGTCCACAGAAAAAGAATGGATTGAACTGAGATGGCTTTTTTAAAACAAAGGAAGTTCAGTAGAAACAGAAATGTTCAGCCCTTTAAAGTTGAACAGAACAAGCATAAGAAACTGAGAGAAAAGGACTATAATGCAAAGAAACCAGAGGAAGTCTCTCAAAGGCACAACCTTCTAACAATAATTAAATTTGACATCTATTCTTTGCCTGGTTCTCTGCTTGCTGGCTTTTTAAAAAACACAAAAAATGTCACACAGAGAATGCAAATTACTTCAGCCTTTAATCTGCACAGCAATAATAGAGCTTGACTGAGACACAAGGTTTGCTGGAAGTTACATGCAGATGAAAAGTGCCGATATCTATTGTTGCTGATGGTAGTTTATCAATGACATAAGCTTAAGTGTTGTGTGGTTTCCGAGTCATACAGTCCGGAAACCACACAACGCTCCAATGATCTTGCCTTCGACAAGATATAAGCTTGGTTACAGCATCAGTTAAAAAGAGATCTAAAAGTCACTCACTTTTAATTTTATGCTGACTTTACAAGCCAAATTGCTTTAAATGGTATTAGGGGAAGGGAGGTAAGAAAAAGCCAGGACACAGACCGTATTGGTGGGGATGATGGGCTTCATGGTCCTACATGTTAGAGAGTGTGTTGGAAGTAAGGAGGTTTTTTTTCGAAAACATGTTGGTCTTGAAGGTGTTGATAGTGTCTTCTATCTAGACCAGGGGTCCACAAACTTTTTAAACAGAGGGCCAGTTCGCAGTCCCTCAAACCGTTGGGGGGCCGGATTATAATGTGAAAAAAACAACAACTATGAATTCCCATGCATGCTACACATATCCTATTTGTAGTGTAAAAAACACTTAAAACAATACAATAATTAAAATGAGAAACAATGTTAACAAATATAAACCTATTAGTATTTCAATGGGAAATGTGGGCCTGCTTTTGGCTGATGAGATAGGATTGTTGTGGTTGATATGTGCTTTCAAGTCGTTTCAGACTTAGGTTGACCCTGAGTGAGGGCCAGGTAAATGACCTTGGAGGGCCGCATCCAGCCCCCGGGCCTTAGTTTGAGGACCCCTGATCTAAACAGTCTGATCCTGTAACGTTTACAATTATTGTACACAGTCCACAGTTAGGTTAAAATACTTACGTTTTTCACTGGGTTGTGCAGTATGGAAGAGAGTTAAGGGTCTCTCGCTGCATGATGGTGGCTTTGAGTCCATACTTCTCTTTCGAGACAAAAGCAGCTGGCAATTTGACTGTGGTGTTTCTGGAACGGTGTTAAATATCTGCAAACAGATAGGCATTTTTAAAGAGGCTTTTAACAGATTCAAGAATGCAGCATAGCAGTTCTTAACATTGGCTGTAATCATTATTTCATTTTTTTTGTTAATATACGCAACTTTACATTTCTTGCAAATATTTTTAAGTTTAATCATTGCTATACATTATGAATGATTCAATCACTACTTTGGATGAAAGTCTAAGAATGTTATTAAACAGCACAGAAATTATTTAGCCTACACGGACAGTTTAATGGCCTGCAAACTAGATATATGATGGCAATCTCTATCTGACTGTATTTCAACCAATTGTTCCAGTAAACCTCAAGCTGCAATTTCTTTGTTGACATCAACTGCAGATTCCAGTCTGGCACAGTGCTCTTAAGATGCATGTAACTAAGTTCATACTGAGGACACACATTGATCCAGCAGATATTTATTGGACGGAAGCTGACAGGTGAATCAATGACCCCATTGAACTGGTGCTAGTCTAACTTATCCAGCTTCCTCTCTATTAAACCTACAGAGACAGGAAGATTACCATCTAAAAGCTTGAATCAGAGCTGGAAATTCAACCAAAGTTAAAGCAATTTCACAGCAGCGGCAATAGGGAATTGATCTTCATGAACTACCTAGGGGACTTCACATTGCTGTTCAGTATACAAATGATGTATATAGGGGAAAGCCACCACATTCCCAGTAGATCAGTGGTTCTCAACCTGTGGGTCCCCAGATGTTTTGGCTTTCAACTCCCAGAAATCCTAACAGCTGGTAAACTGGCTGGGATTTCTGGGAGTTGTAGGCCAAAATACCTGGGGACACACAGGTTGAGAACCACTACAACAGATCCTGCTCTTCCTGTCTCATTCAAAAGGCAAGAGGGGGACTGACCAATGGTTGAAAGGAATTGCCAATCCCTCTTTTCAACAAGGCAATGTTCCTACATGCCCAAACAAGACTTTTGTTGGAAAAGGGTTGCCTGGACAGCTCTGCAATGGATAACCATTAGCCAATGTTCAATATTTCATTTCTGGGCAAGACAGAATGTAAGTGTTTTACTGTTTTAAATTGTATTATCTATTGTTTCAAAAATCCAATGGAGTGTGTGTTTTTACTATGGCTCTTAATTTAATTCAGTTTGAATCTGACTTTTTGTTTAATGGGTAAGCCACCTTGAGTTCCATCCCTGTGGAAAAGATGGCATACAAAAATAGTCATTGCTATTGTTGTTGATGATGATGATGATGAAAATGATGATAATGATGATGATTATTATGATGATGATGAAAAAGGTTCATATTCCCTTTCTTTTGTTACCAATATACAAACCATTATCAAGATAAGATCAATAGGTTGCTGTAAGTTTTTCGGGCTGCATTGCCATATTCCAGAAGCATTCTCTCCTGACATTTCACCTGCATCTAGGGCAGGCATCCTCAGAGGTTGTGAGGTCTGTTGGAAACTAGGAAAATTGGGTTTATATATCTGTGGAATGTCCAGGTGTAAATGCTTCCTCTTCGTTGTCTGATATTCTATTCAATCTAGTATGCTGCCACCATCTGTGAGGTACTAGGCTATGCTGCCACCAATTAATAAGGGTTTCCTATTTAGTTTATTAATGGATTCCCCTATTTTTAAATAGATTCACTGCTACCACTCTGTAGTGCTTCTTTTGGTGTGTAGCAAGTTTTTTCTTTTTTTCTTGAAATAGTGCACTGAGACTTGAGTTACTAAAATAAGAACAAGTTTATTTGGAGTATGGAAGGGTATTAATGGTTTCAGAGTTCTCTTCTCCTGAGGTATAAAGCTTCACGAGTTACAGTTTCAACAAATCTTAATATAACTTTAGGATGTCTTTCACTTCACCAACTAGTTTCCTTATTTGACAGATTAACTAAGGTCAGCTAATGCCCTCGTCTCCCTTCAGCTTCCTGCTGAAGTAAAGATTCCCAGTGGGATTTCTTCTCCTATTAGCACACAGCTAAACCACAAAACTAAATAAGTCCCCTTGACTTATTTAAATCACTCAGGCTAAAAGCTTTCCCTTAGTTTGGTTCACTACACGTTTGAACCATCTTCCCTTTAGCTCGATGACCAAAGGACTGAAGCCTCAAAATGTCTGCTTCTGGTAAGTGCAGTTGGCTCCACCTTTTCTCCATGGCAACCTAAGAGCCGCTGCAAACTACAGGAAAGTGGAAGCGTGCTTGCGCTTGCGCTGGCTCCGAAGCCCTGCCTTTTTTCCCCTGAGGCTGCTCTCTCTCTTGCTAGCGTGCCTGTTTTCCCTTGCTAGGCCAGCGATGCGAGCGTACTCTCGCTGTTGAATTCTGTCAACAGCGAGAGTACGCTTCGGAACGCTGGCCTAGCAAGGGAAAACAGGCACGCTAGCAAGAGAGAGAGCAGCCTCGGGGGGGAAAAGGCAGGGCTTCGGAACGAACGCAAGCGTAAGCTCGCTCCCGCTTTCCTGTAGTTTGCGGCGGCTCTTACTCAGAGTGCTGAGCTTGGTCCCATCCCCCTAATTCTGCCATTTCTAAATGGTTACCCTTTATGTACATCCATAACTGTCTTTTACCTCCTGAACACATACATATAATAATATTCAACCATCTAAGCCAGTGTTTCTCAACCTGGGGTCCCCAGATGTTTTTGGTCTACAATTCCCAGAAATCCTAACAGCTGGTAAACTGGCTGGGATTTCTGGGAGTTGTATGCCAAAAACATCTGGGGACCCAAGGTTGAGAAGCACTGATCTAAGCATATATATTCATACAATCATATTTAACTGTAGAGACACATATACATAACTACGCTTAACTTACAATTAAAAATCAATGCTTCATCACATCAGGGTGGAAGAAAGAACTCTTGTCTGTTGGAGGTAGGTTGAAATGTTTCAATTGGCCACCTTGATTAGCATTTAATGGCCTAGCAGTTTTCAAAGAGTGACTTCTTACTGCCTGGGGGAATCCTTTGTTGGGAGGTGATTAGTTTCTAACAAACCTCATAACCTCTGAGGATGCCTGCCATAGATGCAGGCGAAATGTCAGGAGATAATGCTTCTGGAACATGGCCATACAGCAACCTAGTGATTCCGGCCATGAAAGCCTTCAACAATACAAGATAAGATCAGTCACAGAGATCTCTCTATCTCAGAAATGTACGGAAAATATCTTAGAAATATTAATGTCCACTGGCATGTGATCCAGACTGTGGGCTTCCAATCAGCTCTTAATTCCTTTTATCTTAAACTTAACAATAAGCCCTAGAGCAGGCTAATGTTCAAGAGCTGAAAAGCTACTGGAACTAATTCAGCTAGAGTACATTTTAGAATCCATTATATAGCTGTATTAGGTCCAGAGAGAATCAGATATCTGGAAATGATTAAAGGAAAATGAACATATAGCTTACAAAATATGCTCTAAGTAGACAGATTTACACATCTCAGTATAAACATACCAAAGGTGACTGAACCAAGGCAAGTTGCTGATTTAGCACAAGAAAACCAGAGAGAGAAGGAGACCAGCTAAAAGGTTAACTATTGAAAAATGTACCAAAGCAAAACCTTCTGTTGACCTATGGCCATTGATTTCCTAAGATTTCCTAATTCTGCTTCACTACATCATGTTTGCTGAAAATAGCATGGGACAATTTTTGCCCCCATAACTGACACTGATTGAGACATTATCATAACAAATAGATTTGTTTGAACTTCATTTTTCCCCATTTATTTTTGCCTTGAAGCAAATTGAGATATGATATGCACCTAAAATATGGTGGCATCGTTTACAGACTGTATTGTAGGATTCCTACACTGTAGGTCTAGTTCTATGCAGATTCTGCAACACAACCCTGAAGAACTAAAATGCTGGGTCCTAATTCATAAAAGCTGGATTTTTCTAACATTTTATCTATGTTTAAGACGGTTCCTGATGCTATAGCCAAACTAACTAAAATATATTTTTCCCTTCCTTTCTCTACCAAGTGTTCTTTGAGAAAACATGATTGTAATTTTTACAAGAGGGAATAGCAGCTCTACCTTTGGCATACTAGATAATGCATATGTGAATTCTGGTTAACAGAATTTACCAAAAGAATCTGAAAAAGATTAGTTGAAATGAACAATGAAAGCAACAAAAGAAAGTTGGCAATTAAGCAAAACAATTTCTTCTACTAGTTGTATAAATATTGTCTGAAGTTTAAGACAAAGAAGAAAAGAAAGAAGCATTTTTTAGAAATGTTAAGATCTCTTCCTGTTTGGTGGATGCACCTGCTTCACTATCGGTAGCTGATATTCCTGCACCTTCCAGAACTCATGGGGAGCTATTATGCAGAAAAATAATTCTACTTGATCATTCTATACACTAGCTCTTGGCAACTAATATCTAAAACTGTTTGTCAAACTATTAATTTAAAGTTACTTAATTAAAGCAGCAGATGCAAAACAACCACTTGAAGGGAAAGATATGTGCCAACATCGTCAATATTGCTATGTGCTAACATACTTTATTATTGTGGATACATCTCTTGATCGCACATCAAGAGGAAAGGTAAGACAATAGTAAAACAGGTGGGACATCAACTCAAATTCAGAAGGGCTTGCTAATGCATGCTTTCTTCTGCTTTATTAAAAAGTCATGTTTACTTAGGTCTTGGAGTCCTCGTGGACAACAAGTTAAACATGAACCAACAATGTGATGCAGCAGCAAAAAAAGCCAACGGGATTTTGGCCTGCATCAATAGGAGTATAGTGTCTAGATCCAGGGAAGTCATGCTATCCCTCTATTCTGCCTTGGTTAGACCACATCTGGAATACTGTGTCCAGTTCTGGGCACCACAATTGAAGAGAGATGTTGACAAGCTGGAATGTATCCAGAGGAGGGCGACTAAAATGACCAAAGGTGTGGAGAACAAGCCCTATGAGGAGCAGTTTAAAGAGCTGGGCATGTTTAGCCTGAAGAAGAGAAGGCTGAGAGGAGACATGATAGCCATGTATAAATATGTGAGGGGAAGTCACAGGGAGGAGGGAGCAAGCTTGTTTTCTGCTGCCCTGGAGACTAGGATGGGGAACAATGGCTTCAAACTACAAGAAAGGAGATTCCATCTGAACATGAGGAAGAACTTCCTGACTGTGAGAGCTGTTCAGCAGTGGAACTCTCTGCCCTGGCGTGTAGTGGAGGCTTCTTCTTTGAGGCTTTTAAATGGAAGCTGGATGGTCATCTGTCGGGGGCGCTGTAAATGCGATTTTCCTGCTTCTTGGCAGGGGTTTGGACTGGATGGCCCATGAGGTCTCTTCCAACTCTTTGATTTATGACTTTAGGCGTGAGGGATAAATAGCCAATGGTGAACAACAACTGATTTCCAACCCAACTCAGGGCAAAAACAATCATTTTGTAACATTTTAATTATATCGGATCCTGCCCATATCTTGTACTTTTTACAGTAGGCAAGACATGAACAGAATTCTGTATAAGAGCTACTAACATTACAAAGGGATTGGTTCAGGGTGTCAAATGTTCTATCTTCTCCTATGTCTCTATAGTTCCTGGGGTGAAGGAACATATGGGGAAGAGGTATGATCTTAGTGTATTTTTAAATTCTCTCTTAACTAACATTCCCATCCTCTCCATCAGCAATTTATTTATTTAATATATAAACTCTCTCTCTCCTTGCAGAGGGCCAAGGCAGCTTATATCCAATTTAAAACAAGGCACAGATAATTTTTAAAATCTACTAATTGAAACATTTTTTTAAAAAAAATCAATATCTTTATTGTAAACATAAAGTGAAAAATAAATTTCAAATGTAATAGAAAAAAACCCAGATCCCTTGAAATGATCTGCCTGAATAAAAAGGTCTTTGCCTGCAAGCGGAAAGACAGGAGAAAGGGGACCAACCAAGCAAATCAACAGGAGACTTCCAGAACCTGGGAGCAGCCTCCGGGAAGGGTGCCGCCTATGTCCTCACCAAATGTGCCAGTGTCAAAGAGAGAACAAAGGGAAGTTTAGGGAGGCAGGATGAACAATGAAATTGTTATCTATGAAACATGCACTTGTATTCAGCAGACTTCTTCAAAAATAGGATGATGAACAAACTCAAAAAAAGTTACCTTTTCATGGTTTTCTATTAAGATCTCTACCACAATATTTTGGAATTTGATATCCATAATTGCAGCAACTGTTTCTTCTTGTGGTCGCATCAAAGTTGGTCCAAAAACAACCCCCAGATTTGCAACAGTCATTAGATTCTGTTTGTGGTTCTTTGCAACACTGTAATAAAGAAAAAAACAAGAGATATTTAAACTAGAAAAACTCTAAGGTAGGTATTTTTCTTTGAGAAAAACCCTACCAACCATGAACGTGCAATTTGAGCTCCTACAACTGTCAAGCAGTACAGAACAATTAAGAAGTATTTTACTATATTATTTCCTCAATAACCCAACTAATAAGTGATAAATAAAAGTGTATTCCTCAGGTTTCTCAATAATCTAGAATAATCAAGAAAAGATAAATTTAAGTTATTTCACATTTTTTTTCTTGAAAACTGGGTTACCCTATAAAACCAAACCATGTAAACACTTAGGAAAGCACAGATATCCCTATTTGGTTTCATTGTTGCTGTGTGTTTTGACTCTCAATGTCCTACTCTGCTTCCAATTTAAGTTGGAGAATTACCAAGATTAATTTCAGAATGACTACATGCATAGTGCTCTCTTTGCCATTTACAATATAACAATTCCTTCCCACATTCAACAATGATTTTCTGAAGGATTTAGTCAGATAATACTTCTATTCCTCTAATCACTCCCTCCCTCACTTATATATGTAGATATGTTAGAAGAAGTAAAACACCAAATATAGATTATATACTGCATCTCAACATTTTATGAAACATTGCTAAAATACAACCAATTTCAGGAACCTAACCATATGAACCCATTTCAGCAAAAAACTACTAAGTCTTAGGAGCAGATTCAATATGGAATGACTATTAATGCAATGGAAACTAATTTATTAGATGCATGGTTCTCCTCAGCAATAGATCATATAAAATACATACATAATTAACAGTTTCTTCCTCTGTATCATAGTTTATGACACTGATGTCTATGATATTGCTACCTAGAGCCCAACTGTGTAGTGCCGAGTGAATCTTTTCACAATAGCTTTCACTAGAAATAATTCAGTATTTTAAGCTATACTATGCTAACTTATTACACTGAGAAAGAATTCCTGGATTCTAATTATGCCCAAACTGGATAGAATGAGTATGCTGATAATTTCTAGTTTGCAGTTTCACACTGGAGCAGCAGTACGTAACTTGTCAGTGTGTGCTGAGAATTGTAATCATATCTGTATAGGAAGATGCACTGAAAAAAATGTTCTCTCTTGAGCAGTCAGGTTTGTGGGATGCTAGCAGCATTATTTATTGTGCCTGGACATGATTCTGATGGTACATGATGTTAATTTAATGCAAGTCTCTGACTCACTAAGGTCAGCAACATGACAGGCAATTTCCTTTGATCTCACAAATAATCTGTATCACATAAGCCTATGGATTTCAGATAGAGGAAAAAAAGTCTCAAAGGAATACAGCCACAGTTCTGCATCTACCACTGTCTGCAAAATAAAACCTCTCATGCATGACGGATTGAGGTCCAAAAGTGCTATTTCCTGTCTTCCTAAATTGAAGATACCTGCTCTGAAGCCTGACAGATATGATAAAATTGTAGTTCAGAGACACAAGTAGATGTAAATTCCAAGGATTACAGTAGATATAAAAAGTAGGAAGGGTTTGAGGGACCAGGAAACCAAATGGACACCAAGGGAATCATTGTATGAAGTTTTTACAATACTTGTGTTACATACAATCTCATAACAAAAAGGACACATTGGTATAAAAGAGGAATAGGGCAGAATTGGCTCTCCTGAAGCTGCAGGAGCCAACTTCCATTATCCCATCCCAGCATATCTAACAGGCAAGGGTGACGGGAACTTTAGTTTTCCAGCATATGAAGAACAACTTGTTTCTCAGTCAAGAGAAAGGGACAGGAAAGGGCAGCAATCTCTTCTATTAGGAAGAGCAGCACAAGGGGAATAGCTGTACAAGCGACTTTGTTCTCAGGAGATATCTTTTGAACAGAGTTGGCTTGGCTCAGAGCATATCCCAAAAGGCCTACTACTTCAATATTCATGTAGAACATTGCACATGAGCCCCACATTTTTTAAAAAAACACTCTACCTGTACTCAGCAAGCTATATCTTGGGAGGTTTGTATCTAGCTAAGAACTGCTTCTTACTAGCATGCTGAGTAGAATATATTTATGCAAGAACAAGCTCCCTTCTCTGCAAGCCTCTACTCTCTATGTCTTGTAAAAACGTTCAGAAAAAAACATGAAGACGGATACCAGGGAATGATTATTAATGAACCGAATTGTGCTTTGCATTCTTTTATGGCATTTCTGTCAACCAGAGGAAGTTGTTGCTGCTAAGCAAGTTCCCTTTACACATACTAAACCCACATACATTTAAAGTATTTCAACACTTCATCTACATTAAACTCTATTCAGTAAAAACAAATTCATATATCAACTCAATATATACAGTAGAACCATTAGAAAGTGGAAATTTATATAGTTTTATTTCATTTACTGAAGTTAAGATCTCCATTTCTTCCTGGCTGAACCTGGTTTCAGCTGGATTCATTCCAGTGGAGAGCAGGAGGTATCACTCAGAGAACAGTTTCTTGCCAACGCTAAAATGCGTATCTGGGGCTTTATTGTATTGTAAATGCTCTGCTGTAGCTTTAAATTATTCACATATGATATTATGATTTTCCTCTTTTGATCTTGGCACCAGACTTATTGAAGAGAAGAACAAGCCCAATGTTGTGGATCGGCAACACATTTTAAAAGAATATTAGCGTCAAATCTTGAAAACTTTTTTTTCAATGGCTCTGGGATTCTGGGAGGTGTAGTGCTAAAAAGCAATTTTCCAAGCTGTAGTTAGCTTGGTGAACAGATCTGTTATGTGAGCAATACTTCTACACTATAATACAAAAACCACTTCTTACTTTAGAAGAGCTAAGACAGTATAGGATGTTTGTGATGCAGAATAATCCCTCCAAAATGCACCATGTCAATATATCTCAAGACGTGGGTTGAAAGCTCGCGCTGACACATATTAGTCTGAAAGGTGCTGCTAAATTCCTTTTATTTCTGCCCCCTTTCCTTTTTATCCCTTTAAAAGGCATTTTCCCACTTCTATCAGTAAAGAAAATGTAAACACATCAGGGAGCATTAACTTCAAAACAACTGAGGTTAGGTTCTTTAGACAAAATCCTGAATTGTAGCCATATATAGTTGAATACTAAAAATACGCCATCATATTTTTCATTTCTATGTATGGTTGTGAAAGTACTGACCAGTGAAAAAAGTTGATATGAAGAAAATCAATTCTCTAGAAATATGGGGCTGAAGAACAATTCTACAGATACCATGGACTACTAAAAAATCTCAATAAATAGGTCCCGGGGCAAATCAAGCCTGAACTCTCCCTAGAAACCAAGATGACTTAAAGAGACAATCATGTTTTGGCCACATCATGAAAAGACATGACTCACTAAACCAAACATTAATGGAGTGTTTGGTAGAAGGCAACAGAAAAGAAGAAGACTACATTCCAGATGGATAGAATTAGAGTAGCAAGTCTGCAAGACCTGAGCAAGGCTGTTGATAATAAGGTGGCGTGGAGGTCTTTTATTCTTGGGGCCACCATAGGAAGGAAACTTGATGGCAGTTAATAACAAACTTGTTTCATGGCCCTTCTGGCATGAGATGACCCAAAGGCAACATTATGGTGACAGGTCAACCAAAGAGGTTATGAAATTAGCATCTAAGTTGCTCTTTAAGTAGCATGAAACTAAATTTTAATGACCCCAAAATAAATGTATGTAAAGCTTGACATCTCTAGCACTGACAATAAGTTGTGACAGCATCTCTCCTGTCACCTATTATTTATATTGCAGACCACATATGAAAAACACACAGAAAAATGCATAGTGTGGTAATGTGTTATATAAGAAATCTTCACACAATTAACTCCCAAAAAGATGGAATCTTAATATGATAAACTGTCATGTGGTTGACAATCCGTGCAATAATTATTCTGTGTTGTACATTGTGGCAATGCTGCCAAAACAACAATAACACATGTTATGATAATATTACTGAAACAACAGCAACAGAATATTGACATATTTGCAGCGGTTTTTATTTTGTACAGTATTCTGACAGCATCATGTATCCTGGAGAACTCATTTTACAATCTTTATTTATTTATTGTGGACAAAGTGAATGGCTACAAACTATAAAACCTATAAAACCACAGAAAACCTGTAACTTCTAAACAATTATGACTTCACAATTCATCTGCCATTGCTTCCTCCATCGTGCAAATATGTTTTCCAAGTTTAGAAAGTGGTTCTTTTCTGATTAATAAGAGGATCGGTGGAAATGGCTTGACCTGAGAAGCAGGTCTTGTTCCCCGCATCATGAAAAGACTACTCTATTCATATCAATTGCAAACAACCATGTGGGTCTATAATTGCTTTGAGTCACCATTACATCCTTGCCCCCAGGAAAAGGGCGCTTGTATAAGAGGAGCAGATGTCTTTTAGTCGACACTTTCTGAGAAAAATAGATGAGAACATGACATGTCCAGGTAACTGAGGCAGCACACAAAGCAAATACTTCCATCTATTCTCGTCATTACTGAAATACAGAACAGTGCAGCATTTGGTTTAAGATGTTCCCCTATTTGAAGGGAGAAAGGGAGGGCATCAATTCACAGAAGAGAGTTCCTGGAAAACCACAGCAGCAATTAAGAGTCACTCATGCAAATACAATCCTAATTCTGAAACCTAGTTAGGTAACAAATGGCTACACCAAAGAAATGCTGAAATGCAACACTAAAGATTATTTTTAATAGAATAGATATAAAACCCAACTTGCATATTTATTCTGATTAGAAATCACATCAGGGCATTTCTTTAAAAGTAATTAAAAGATTGGAAAGATCCAGACCCAAATCCTCACTGAGCCATTAAACTGTTATAGTGGGGAAAGGAGAAGTAGGACTGTATACACAAGCTTGAACTTACTGGAGGAAAGAAGGAATGTGACACTAATAAAAAAACAGTAACATATGTCAATTCAGTAGTTGTGCTATTTGCAGCTATTTTTTTTAAAAAAAAAACCTAATATTACACT